TGCAGTGTTTCCTCCTGCTTTTATAAAAGACATAAGCAATAAAACAAGTTCTACTAGACGAGCAGCGGTTCTCAACCTATGGGTCGCGATCCCATTTGGGGTCGATTGACCATTTCACGGGGATCGCCAAGCAAGGCTGTCCGCCATTTTTTTTCCCCTTTTCCGGCGGGTGCCTTACCTCCCTTGAGCTGGGCCAGCTGGTGGTCGGCCTGCTCCATCTCTGCCGCTTGCCAGCTATGCCTCAGCCGGCGCAGGGGGCGGAACCACGCATGCGCGGCGCTCCCGGGCAGGGAAAGTCCTCGACTTACGACCGGTTGGGTAGTCCTCGACTTATGACTGGTTTAGTCCTTGACTAACGACCGGTTTAGTCCTCAACTTACAACCGGTTCGCGGCATTAAAAAGGTTGAGAACCACTGTACTAGAGGCTAGACAGTCACTTGTCTGAGATGGTATAGGTCAGTGATGGCGAACCTTTTAGAGACCGAGTGCCCAAACTGCAACCCAAAACCCACTTATGCATTGTCGAGTGCTGGGTGGGTGTGGCCCATTGGCTGGGTGTGGCCAATTGGGTGGGTGTGGCTACGGTGGTAACAGAAGACTGGGTGGGACTAAAAAGTTTAGTCAATCAATTTCAACTTTGCAAGATCTTTTTTTTTCCCCATGAGAAGTTGAAATTGACTGAGTGAACCTTTTTTTTTTTTTTGCACACAGCGGCGGCGGCCTAAAGCGAAAAGGTTTTATAAAACCCAGCTGAAGGCCTAGGACTGGGGCGACAGCGCATGTGCCCACAGACAGGGCTCTGAGTGCCACCTCTGGCACCTGTGCCATAGGTTCGCCACCACTGGTATAGGTTCTCCTGGTTGAGCAGGGGGCTGGACTAGAAGACCTCCAAGGTCCCTTCCAATTCTATTCTATTCTATTCTATTTTATTCTATTCTACTCATTTCACCTTCCACTCTTTGGCACCCTCGATGTCTAGTTGGGATTGGGTTTTCCCAAAGCATTCTGGGAATCGTAGTTCTCACATTTCTGGAAACTCTGAGGTTAGGGGAGGAGTATTTTAAGCCTTTAAGTGGGGAAATTGTGAGTTGTTTGTAGCCACCAGAGTGGATAGGGCTAAGATATTTTTATTACTCCTCTAGGTGACAGAATATAAGTCTTCACAGATTTGAGGACACTCACGGAAGACATTATCTCTCTTAAAAAGCAGGCATAAAATACAGGTAGTCCTCTACTTACAACCATTCATTTAGTGATCGTTCAAAGTTACAATGTCATTGAAAGAATGACTTATCACTGTTTTTCACACTTACGACCATCGCAGCATCCCCAGGGTCACGTGATCAAAATTTGGATGCTTGGCAATTGGTTCTTTTTTATGATGGTTGCAATATCCCAGGATCATGTGATCCCCTTTTGCTACCTTCTGACAAACAAAATCAATGGGGGAAGCCAGATTCACTTAACAACCGTATTAGTAACTTGTTAACTGCAGTGATTCACTTAATAACTGTAGCAAGAAAGGTCATGTAACAAAATTCATTGAACAACTGTCGTGCAACAGAAATTTTGGGCTCGACTGTGGTTGTATGTCAAGGACTACCTATATGTTTGGGAGGGACTTAAGTAGAGAAGGCACCTATTTTCTCTTTAAAATTACTAAAAAAAATGAGCCTGAGTATTTCAGATTCACCTGTTCCAATGACATCATAGTTTCACTGGCCACACACCTCACATGGCCCCCAGGTAGAGAGTTAGTTCCAGGCCAAAAATAGATTTTCCTGCTCTACTTGTAGATAGATGAAACAACTACCGTATTTTCCGGCGTATAAGACGACTGGGCGTATAAGACGACCCCCAACTTTTCCAGTTAAAATATAGAGTTTGAGTGAGAGAGAGGGGGGGGGGAGAGAAAACTTGATGAGTAATATGCCAAACCACATGTGTAAAGGAATAAAATAGAATACCCGTATTTTCCGGCGTATAAGACGACTGGGCGTATAAGACGACCCCCGACTTTTGAGAAGATTTTCAGGGTTTAGAAAGTCATCTTATACGCCGGAAAATACGGTATTTATCCTCCAGGAAATTTCTAGTAAAGTTGTCGTGTCTGATGCATTTAATTATCTCCTTTTCCCCTTCTGGTTTTGCTCCTTTTTAATATTTGTGATCTGGCAATTATCTTTATGAATTAATGTGTAGTTTAGACTACTGTTTCCCAACCTTGGCCAACTTTAAGAGGTGTGGACTTTGACTTCTAAAATTCCCCAGCCACTGAGAAATTCTGGGAGTTGACATTCTGCTGGGGAATTCTGGGAGTCCAAGTCCACACACATTGCCAAGATCAGAAAATGCTGGTTTAGGTAGTTAGCAGAAATGATGCAGAAAAATAACATCAGGCCATGTCATATTAAAAGCTATCCCCGAAGCAAGGATTTCGAATGGCATTTCATGATTATCCGAAAGCCTGAAAGGTCAGGAAATTTGACATGCTTGAACTTTAAAGCCCTCAGCGGATCTGGCTTGGCTAAGCCTTCGTGAAAAGCTCCGGCAGGAAAAAAAAACCTAAGACTGAAAATCAGGCTTGTCAGATGCTATATTTTTTCTATCCTGCTCTATGGAGTAGAGAGTTGGTCCCTGACAGAAGGCCACCTGAAGAGACTAGAAGCATTTGAAATGTGGATTTACAGGCAGCTGTTACGTAGAAGCTGGGTTGACAAGATCAGAAATGAGGAGGGGATAAGCCGCCTGGGAAAGCCAAGGGAAATCATCAAAACAATTAAAAAAACGAAAATTAGAATATTTCGGACATGTGATGCGACACCCAGAAAAATACGGCATACTCCATTTAATCCTCCAGGGAAAGATTGAAGGCAAACGAGGTCCAGGCAGAAGAAGAACATCGTGGCTTCAAAATCTAAGGGACTGGTTTGGACAAAACTCAGCAGCACTTTTTCGTGCGGCTGCTGATAAAACCAGGATCGCCAACGTCCGATAACGGATATGGCAGGAGAAGGAGAAGGAGAAGGAGAAGAAGAATCACCAACGTCCGATAACGGATATGGCAGGAGAAGGAGGAGGAGGAGGAGGAGGAGGAGGAGGAGAAGGAGAAGGAGAAGAAGAAGAAGAAGAAGAAGAAGAAGGAGAAGGAGAAGGAGAAGGAGAAGGAGAAGAAAAAGGAGAAGAAGAAGAAGAAGAAGAAGAAGAAGAAGAAGAAGAAGAAGAAGAAGAAGAAGAAGAAGAAGAAGAAGAAGAAGAAGAAGAAAGAAGAAAGAAGAAAGAAGAAAGAAGAAAAAAACCGAGCAATGATTTTTCCAGTCACCTTGTATTCTCCATATTAGGAAATGTTTCACTTGCAAATAAAATCATGTGTACTCCTGCTTCTAAACTTTTGCTGGAGGCACAGAGCCAGCTCCAGCTGTAAGGCAGAGTTTGGACAGGCTCCTAAAAATAATCCCTTTTGGCAGGAATTCATTGGAGATTTGATTTGCTCTGCAGGTTCGAACAGAGAATCGTAGAGTTGGAGAGAGCTATTTAGAGTCCAACTCTTCTTGGTGCAGGAACTGAATTAAAGCATCCTGGACTGATAGCTGCCTAGCCAGTACAGGTAATCTCTGAGATCAATAGAGCCTGGAATTTTGGTCATAAGTCCTTGTGATCATAAACTCAGATACTGCATGAGCGGACTTTATTTTACGATAATTTTTAGGATGGTTGTAAAGTGAGTCACCACCATTGTAAAGTGAGTCATGTGGTGGTTAAGCAAATCTATTCTTTTTTTTTTTTTGCCAGAAAAGAGTCACTCTGAGAGTGAGAAGGGTGGTACCTAAATTTAATAAATAAATTTAAAAAGTAGCAAATTGCAGTCATGCGTCCACAGGATGCCACTGCCAGTCATAAATATGAGCTGGTTGCAAGTGCTAGTGTGATCACATGACCATGGGGGAGAGAAGGAGCAGCAGTCATAACTTCAACAACGGGTTATAAGTAGCTTTTTGAACATGTCTGTCGTAACTTCAAGCGGTTGTTAAATTACCAGTCGTAAGTCAAGGACTACCTGTATAGCAATAACGACAGCACTTAAGACATATACTGCTTCATAGTGCTTTACAGGCCTCTCTAAGCGGTTTACAGAATCAGCAACAATCTGGGTCCTCATTTTACCAACCTCAGATGGACGGAAGGCTGAGTCAACCTTGAATTGTTCAGAATTGAACTCCTGGCAGTAAGCAGTGAGTTAGCCTGCATAACTGCAATCTAACCACTGTGCCACCATGGCTCTTAGCCCAGTGGTGGCGAACCTATGGCATGCGTGCCAGAGGCGGCACTCCGAGACCTCTCTATGGGCATGCGTGCCGTGCCCTGGAGATGGTGAGGGACTGGCCCCCACCACCCTGGCCCCACCCACCTAGTCTGCCATGACCACCGCGGCCATGCCCACCTGGCACCCAGTGATAAATAAGTGGGTTTTGGGTTACAATTTGGGCACTGGGTCTCTAAAAGGTTCGCCATCACTGTCTTAGCCTATCTCGTTTGGCTTCAACTCAGAAATGAAGTCTCTGCAGCCTTCCATACATTGATGAACTAAAACTCCTTCATCATACGTCCTTCATCATACGTCTTACTAGCAGAGCCTTGTGGGAGTTGTACTTTAGCAAGGTTCAAAATTTCCCTGTTTTTCCATCCAAATTGGACCATTTGTTTCAAGGTGGCTTCAGCTGTAGTTTTCTTTCCCAGGAAGAACACCCGTTCATGGTTTAGGAGCAAATTTTCGGTTGGTCCAAGTATTAAGGCAGCTAAGATAATACAGGTAGTCATCAACTTACAACAATTTGTTTAGCGACCATTTGAAATTACAACAGTGACTATGACTGTTTTTCACACTTATGACCGTTGCAGCATCTCCATGGTCATGTGATCAAAATTCAGACGCTTGGCAACCGGCTCATATTTATGACAGTTGCAGTGTCCTGGGGTCAGGTGATCACCTTTTACGACTTTCTGACAAGCCAAGTCAATGGGGAAGCCACAGTCACTTCCCAATTGTGTTGCTAACATAACAGTTGCAGTGATTCACTTAACAACAGTGGCAAGAAAGGTCAAAAAAATGGGGCAAAATTCACTTAGTAACTATCTTGCTTAATATCGGAACTTTTGAGCTCAGCTGTGGTTGTAAGTCAAGGACGACCTGTATTTTGAATTAATCACAAAGCAGGAGTATGTGGTGCTTGCTACCCTACCACTCTCCCTTCTGTACTGGAATTGAAGGATGTCAAAACACATTTACCACTTGCATTGGGGTGAAGTCTCTCATCATTCAACACGGCCAAGAAATTGCTATTGTTGAGGTAAAGATCTCTGTGGTGTGGGTCTGAAAATGCAAAAGATGGGAAGGGGGAGAGAGAGAAAAGTTGAGAGTCATTTTGTTTTGTTTCTGTATCTAATAGGATATGTTAATTAATTCACTAAATCAACTTCAAGGTTTAGGGCAATGTATGAGCCCACCTACATCTCTCTTTCCTCTAGATTTAAGATATGAAACTAGATCTTAACCAATTTTTAATACCAGAAATGAGCAATTAAAAAGTGCTAATTTAGCATTTTTGGCATAGATAATACTATTTTGGCTGTGTAAGCAATGCCTCATACAGCCCCCACACTGGGAACCAGAAAATGTGGATAAATATTGGCCTTTTAAGGAATTATGTTGAAGCACAGGCCAAATGAAACATCCCATTAAGACATTATTTAGTTTTAGCTTAGTCTATAAGCATGAATTCAGTGACTATAATTTGAAAGCCTCAGCTTATGGCTTAGTGAGTTGTATTCACCCAACCCAATTACATTTAGCCATCCAACTTAGCTTAAGACAAGAACCTGTCTTAAGGTTTACCCATTGCATTAGCCACAGTGCAATTTCTTTGGTTATGGGTTGGTGTTATTATCTGAGCTACTGGAGCTTCAACAAACCACATTTAAAACAAACCATGGCCTCACATAATATGTGAATTCAACAATATAGGTCAAAACATTCTGGAGAGAGAGAAATTCCCGGAGGATGGGATCCAGCACAAGTCTGAAAGCTTGGAAGACAAAATCTCTGGTCCTGGTGACCGACCCAGATTGGATCTTGCAACATTATCCTGGGACATGTATATTCATTTGTAGGTGAAAACGGTTTAAACCCTCAAAAGCCCCCCATGAAATGAAGAATAACTGCTGAAGTCACAAAGCAGACCGAATTTTACCATTCCAGTAGTTACAGATGGAGACATCTTGACCCAGCTGTGTGTAGCAGAGGCGGTAGAGGTTGCTCTTCATGTAGTGTGGAAAGAGCCACTTCAAGTACTTGGTGTCTGAATTGAAAAAGAAATGGAGAGAATGCCAATGAATAGTTTTCCCACCACTATTTTAAGTTCCGGATCTTCTACCCTTTGGTAACCCAATCTGATGTTTCCAGACAGGATGGCCCAAATCACCCATAATCCCCAGACATTACAGATAGTCCTCAACTTACAACAGTTCATTTAGTGACCATTCAAAGTTACAACAGCACTGAAAAGGTGACTTATGACCATTTTTCATACTTATGACCGTTGCAGCATTGCCATGATCAAAATTCAGATTTTTAGCAACGGACTCATATTTATTGCAGTTTCAATGCCCCAGGGTCGTGTGATCGCCTTTTGTGACCTTCTGGTAAGCAAAGTCAATGGGAAAGCCAGATTCACTTAACAACCATGTTACTAACTTAACAACTGCAGTGATTCACTTAACAACTGTGGCAAGAAAGGTTGTAAAATGGGGCAAAACCCATTTAACAAACGACCCACTTAGCAACAGAAATTTGGGGCTAAATTGTAGTCATAAGTTGAGGACCACCTGTATGCCTTTGGGAAGTCTAAAGCACACATGACAACTAATTGTGGTAGCCATCCCTAATCCTAGCTCCTTTTCAAAGTAAATAGCTCTACGCATGCCAGCTGTCAACGCTGCTAACATTGGATGTTCTTGCTTTGACAACATATGGAGATGCAGCCTTTTTCTTTCTTATGCTTTACTCTTAGAATTAGATGATGCTGGGGGAGGAGGCGGAATGTGGTGGGAGTTAGTTAGACATAACAATATTGTAATAGTGTGTGAACTCAGGGCTTTTGAAATAAGAGATGATAAGAAATGGCAGATTGGAGAACAGGAGGGAAAGCCTGCATTTCAACCTAATTGGAGAATGTGATTTATGACTGTTAATTATTAGAGGAGGGAATTGTGTCTGATACTATGTGCTAAGGGGAGAGGAATCCAGATTTTGGCTTCGCTTATGTATATGCCGATGCTATGCTGCTCGAATAAAGATTATTTAAGGTAAACGACGCCTCAAAGTTCTTTGAAGAGTTTCATCTGTTGGAACCATGACACCAGCTAATTTGGGAGCTGAAATCCCATCTATTTGGAGGTGGCACCAGTTGGAAAAGCTAGGGCTGTCAAAATTCCAGTGATTTCCATCTTAGTAATGTAAATATAAATATAAATATAAATATAAATATAAATATAAATATAAATATAAATATAAATATAAATATAAATATAAATATAAATATAAATATAAATATAAATATAAATATAAATATAAATATAAATATAAATATAAATATAAATATAAATACATGTATAAGAGTAAATACAGTGATTCTTCAATTTACAATTGTTCGTTTAATGACTATTCAAAGTTACAAAGGCACTGGAAAAAGCGACTTATGATCATTTCCCACACTTAACAACCGTTGCAGCATCCCCATGGTCATGTGATCAAAACTCAGATGCTTGGCAACTGGTTCATATTTACAACGGTTGCGGTGGGCCAGAGTCTTGTGAACAGCTTTTCCTGACCTTCTGACAAGCAAAGTCAATGGGGAATCCAGATTCACTTAACAACCGTGTTACTAACTTAACACCTGCAGTGATTCACTTAACAACTGTGGCTAGAAAGGTCGTAAAATGGAGCAAAACTCGCGACCTAAATTTCGGGCTAAATTGTGGTCATAGGACTAGGACTGCCTATATCAGGGGTAGGCAACCTTAGCTCTTTTATGACTCGTGGACTTCAACTCCCAGAATTCCTGAGCCAGGCTGGCTCAGGAACTCTGGGAGTTGAAGTCCACAAGTCATAAAAGAGCCAAGGTTGCCTACCCCTGGCCTATATAAACCCATGTTTAAATATAATAGAAACAAATGCATAAATGGAGGTGCAAAAATGAAGACATGAACGGTAAACCAAATAGGATAAGGGAAAAGATACTGGAAATGAAATATTATACCAGTGATGGCAAACCTTTTAGAGACCGTGTGCCCAAACTGCAACACAAAACCCACTTATTTATCGCCGGCGTGGCCCACTGGGTGGGCCTGGCTGTGGTGGTCATGGCAGATTGGGTGGGAGTGGCCAAGGTGGGCGTGATCACCTCGATGTTGCTAGTGGGGAGGGATGCCTGTGGGGGTCGGGCAGGGTTGGGGGAGATCCATGGGGTCTCTGCCAGGTGGGGCGGTGGGCAGGAGGCTCGTTCTGCGGGGTGAGGCGAGGCAAGGCGAGGTGAGGCAGGGCGGGAGTGCCATTGTCACAGGGCAAGGGGTGGCAGGGGCAGGGGCGGATGCTGCCTGACACCATCGATCTCTGCACACAGAGGGCAGCGAGCATATGGGTGCTGGGCTGCATCCAGCCATGTGGGACCTTGGCGAGTTAGCGGGCAGCTGGTTGAAGAGGGACGGTTGCCATCTCCAGGGCCTGGCCTGTGTGCCCACAGAGAGGGCTCTGAGTGCCGCCTCTGGCACGCGTGCCATAGGTTCGCCACCACTATATTATACTTTGCTATTAAAGAAATGGCCGGTATCCATCAGAAATGTAAAACAAAAAGTTGAGGTTGTAACTGTACTTGTTATTCCATTGCACCGAAAAGAGTTAAGTCCCTGGTTTTGTTTGGTTTTTTCCTTTTCCCCTTACACTCCAGTCTTGTGTCCCAAAGTCCCACACAAATGTCACCAGAGTGTCCTTTATCCTTGTTTCATTGCTTACCCCCATATTGCCCCATTTGCGGGGAGGAGAGAGAGATGAAGGTGTCCACATTGTGGTCGGGCATCGTAGAGAGCAGAGCACGACAAATAAGTCCTCCTGTAGGACAGAGTGAAAATGTCAGGGAATTGAGCAGCCAAATGGAGTCAGAGACGCTGACAAGAACTTGTAGTTTTCCATAAATAAATATACTTAACATCTATATTTACAGTACAGTAGATAGTCGGGCAAATGGGAGAATCGTGAGGTAAATCACAGAGCGTACAAGGCACAGAGAAGAAAAAAGGCGGGAAAAAAGGGAAACTCCCCCTCCACACCCACAGCAGCCAATCACAGGGCAGATCACCTCACGCAGGAGCCAGCTCTTTCCAAACTACCGACCACAATTGTATGTTCTGGCTCACTGCACAACGCCACAGCTCCTCCAGCTACTAAACTGAAAGTTGGTCTTTGACCGCAAATAAAAATTATTATTATTATTATTACTAAATTGAAAGATCTTAACCGAAAAGAATCAAGAATCAAGTTTTAGAAAAGGGGCGACATGGCACTATTTGTCTCTAAATCTTCACCCTCTCTAAATCTTCACCCAAATAAAAAAATGGGTCTTCCTCTACATTGACTTTTTTTGGGCCTTCCATTAAAAACACCAACCTTTCACACTATGTAGAAGATTTACAAATGGGGCCTTTGGAGTACAGTAGTCCTCAACTTACAACTACTTGTTTAGCAAGTGTTTGAACTTGCAATGCCACTGAAAAAAGTGACTTATAACTGGTCTTCACACTTATGACCGTTGCAGCAGCCCCACAGTTACGTCCTCCAAATTTGGGGGGTTGGCAACTGACATGTTTTTAAGAGAGATGCAACGTCCCAGAGTCATGTGATCACTAGTTGCGACCTTCCCAGCCGCCTTCAGACAAGCAAAGTCAATGGGAGAAGTCGGATGTGCTTAATCACTGTGTGATTCACTTAAAAACTGTTTTAATAACCATAGCAAAAAAAAGTCATAAAATCAGGTGTGACACACACTTAACCACTTTGCTTAGCAATGGAAATTCTAATCCCAATTGTAGATAGACGTCGAGAACTACAGATAGTGCTCGACTTACGACCAAAATTGAGTCCAACGTTTCTGTTGAGAAGAGATTTGTTAAGTGAGTTTTGCCCCATTTTACGATCTTTCTTGCCACCGTTGTTAAGTGAATCACTGCAGTTGGTAAGTTAGTAACCCGGTTGTTGAGCAAATCTGGCTTCCCCACTGACTTTGCTTGTCAAAAGGTCGCAAAAGGGAATCTCATTACCTTGGGACATAGCAACGGTCACAAGTATGATCCAGTTGCCAAGCAGCTGAATTTTGATCACATGATCACAGGAATGCTACAAGGGTCATAGCGATGAAAAACGGTCATAGATCACTTTTTTCAGTGCTGTTGTAACTTTGAATGGTCACTAAATGAACTAAATGAACTGTTGTAACTAACGGTACCGGTATTTCTCCTCAAATTTGGAAACACTTGTGAGGTTCGCAAATAGATTATGACAAGTGACATCAAAAATTATGACAAACATTACAAACATTTGCATGCACAATGAACTTCCTAAATGCAAACTAACAGAATGATACTTGCCCTGGATCGGCCTTTTGATGAGCAACCGGAGGCAGAAACTCAACAGCCCTTTTAATTTCCCACAGAGTCTTTAAGCTAACATGGTTTTAGGCCAGTGTTTCTCAACCTCAGAATCTTGAAGATGTTTGAACTTCAACTCCCAGATAAAAAAAGATCTGAAGGGAGGCTTAGAGATGATTGGGTGGTGTCCATACAATCCAATCATCTCTTTCTTGAATGCATATTTATCTAGGCCCCGAGTTGCAAGCCAGGATGTTATGAAAATCACCACCATTTTGCTTTAGGCCTCCAGTGCAAACAAATATGGAAAAGACGACAAAGTGAAGTGCACACACAAAGGAAGCATTTGAACTCTACAGGTGAACTATTATTATGGCAGATCCATTTATGGTTCAGTGTAGGCCAGTGGTGGCGAACCTACGGCACGGGTGCCAGAGGCGGCACTCGGAGCCCTCTCTGTGGGCACAAGTGCCGTTGCCCCAGCCTTGCCTTCCCCTGTGACCCCCTCCTCTCCAGCAGCCCCCTGAAGGAGAGTTGCCCTCGAGTGTGGCCCACATGGAGCAGCGCAGCCAAGGACATGGCAGCCAGGCAGTGTAGACAAGACTCTGCCCTCTCGCCCCATCATGCAGTTGATGCTGCAGGACTCAGGCAGAGGGTGTGGCCGCCATAGCGCTGCTGGGCTGCCTTGGTGATCTGCGGGCCCTGGAGGTGGTGAGTGGTCCTCTGGGCGGGGCAGAGTGGGGGCGGAGCAGGTAGGTGGGGCGGGGGCGGGGCCAGGTTTTGGGCACTCGGTCTCTAAAAGGTTCGCCATCGCTGGTGTAGGCCTTAAATATGTTGTTGCTCAGTTTAAGCAAGGCCACTCAAATCCAGACCTCTCTCTCCAGACCAGTGATGGCGAACCTATGGCGCCCATGTCAAAGGTGACACACCACAACATTTTGAGTGATGCACCAGATTCACCAACCCCCAACAACAGCTATTCTCAACAGTATCCCCTGTTCTTGCATGGTTTTTGGAGGATTCACTGGCCGCACAAGAATAGGTTAGGGTTTGGGTCACATGAGAATGGGGTGTGAGAATGGGGCATGCTTTTGCACGGTTTTTGGAAACCACAGAGATCACCAAAAAGCATTTTCAGAAGCTGCTAAAGCAGTGGTTCTCAACCTTTTTAATGCCGCGACCCCAACCGGTCGTAAGTCGAGGACTAAACTGGTCGTAAGTCGAGGACTAAACCGGTCATAAGTCGAGGACTTTCCCTGCCCGGGAGTGCCGTGCATGCGTGGTTCCGCCCCCTGCGCCGGCTGAGGCATAGCTGGCAAGCGGCAGAGATGGAGCAGGCCGACCACAAGCTGGCCCAGCCCAAGGAAAGTAAGGCACCCACCGGAAAAGGGGGAAAAAATGGCGGACAAAAAAAATGGCGGACAAAAAAAATGGTGGACAGTCTTGCTTGGCGACCCCCATGAAATGATCAATCAACCCCAAATGGGGTCCCGACCCACAGGTTGAGAACCACTGTGCTAAAGGAACGAAGGCCTTGTGTGACCCAGAACTGCCTTGGATGGGTCACAGGGGACCATCAACAGAAAGCCTCTGGAAGGTAACTGGTGCATGGCAGGGAAGGAGAGGGAGGGAGGGAGGCAGGGAGGGAGGGAGGGAGGGAGGGAAGAGAGAGAGAGAAAGGGAGGGAGGGAGAGAGAGAGGGAGGGAGGGGGA